TGCAACCTCCACCTCTCAGATTCAAGTGATTCTCCTGTCTCAGCCACCCTAGTAGCTGGGATTACAGGCATGCACCACCATGCCCAGCTAATTTTTGTGTTTTTAGTACAGACAACGTTTCACTATGTTGGCCAGGCTGGTCTTGAACTCCTGATCTCAGATAATCGGCCTTGCAAAGTGCTGGGATTACAGGCGTGAGCCACCGCGACCAGCCGTTAGCTCATTTTAACACATCCTTACTCCAGCCTGTTCCAAAACATCTAAAGTCAGACAGCTTCCTAAACCTCAACTTTATTCAAATTGCTTTCGTAGACGAAGAATGTGGTAAGTTGGCCTTCCAGCCACCAGCCCCCTTGACTTTGGTCTTTCACTCTGGAGGCTCTTACCCTAGACACGATGGGACAGGGAGCGGGGGATGGGGGAATTCAGCTCAGGCTTTTATGCAAAGGCCCCCTTCTGCAAAGAACAAAGCTTCTGGTACCTGCCCTTTGGAGAGCTGCGGGCAAACTCAACGTCAGTGAGTCTTGCTGGCCTTGACAGCCCCCACTTACCAAACTGTGCTGATTAAGACGTTTTTCCCTTTTTAAAAGAAATCATCCTATTTCCTATGAGACACAGACTATCTGCCTGAAGCATGACGTATCTAGTTCCACTCACCTGCTGCTTGATACCCCTATGGTTAATCTTCTCCCCAGTGGTGGTCTGAGAAGAAAAAAGATTACGCCCAATTTCACTTCCTTGCTTCTCACCCAGCAATACTTTGACTCTCAACAGTTGGAGTCTTTCCATTGTGAACAAAAGTCAGCTTGTGTGGGAGCAAAGCCAGCTGCTTTGGGTGCAGACCTAGGAGCAGAGTGCAGAGGAGAATGAGTCAAAGAGTTGTGTCTTCAAAAATTACATAATCGGGATTTGCTAAGAGTTTACTTTATGGTGTGGGAGATTGGAAAAGAGAAAGAAATCTTAGGTTTTTTGAATGTTGGGTTTGGGAATAGGAAGGAAAATCGAAAACTGTAGACTGTCCATGAATGTTAGTGCTGGAACCCCACTCTAGCAACTTTGTTCATCTGGAAAACACCTCCCTGTTTTAATTTAATTTAATTTAATTTAACTTAATTTAGGAGAGCTAAGTAATTAAACATGAGGCCGAAGTACATAAGAAAGTGGCAGTCTTTTATTGCAAATATGCACACAATCTCAGACGAGGTTCTCTGGTCCTCAGGTGTGGGGGGCCAGGGAAGTCGCGCCTGCGCTCTCGGGTGATGTTCTCCGGTCCACAAATGCGGGGGCCGAAGAAGTCACACCGGCTACTGCCGGCGGCGGACCTTTAAGCATTGGTACTGGAAGTGGGAGGGCAGTGGGCAGGATAAGGGCGTGATAGGGGCATCTCCATAGGCGTTGTCGGGTAAGTTTCGATCTCTTCGGATTGACATCACCTGGCGCATGCTCGGTTGATCTGCATCTTCCCGCGTGGGAAAGTTGGTGAGGAAGAACCCGGAAGCAACATGGATTGTGCCTTCTTGTTCACCTTCCTCCATTTTGTCCCTTCTCCCTCACCCAAACACTCCCTTCGCCCAGAAACACACACACACACGATGGGCACTGAGTAGTCTTGAAAGACATGACAATATCACCAGACCTGAGAAGAAGCTAAAGAGCCAGAGGGAAAAAGTCAGAAGTCGACCACCTGGGAGGAGGGATAGACAAGAGACCAAACTAAAGGAAACTAAGGCAGGGGCTGAAAACAAGTACCATTTTCTTTTCTTTTTTTTTTTTGAGACCGAGTCTCGCTCTGTCGCCCAGGCTGGAGTGCAGTGATGCGATCTCGGCTCACTGCAAGCTCTGCCTCCTGGGTTCAGGCCATTCTCCTGCCTCAGCCTCCTGAGTTGCTGGGACTACAGGCACCCGCCACCATACCCGGCTAATTTTTTGTATTTTTAGTAGAGATGGGGTTTCACCGTGTTAGCCAGGATGGTCTCGATCTCCTGACCTCGTGATCTGGCCGCCTCGGCCTCCCAAAGTGCTGGGATTACAGCCGTGAGCCACCGCGCCCGACACAAGTACCATTTTCAACATTAACTGATACCTTGGCTTCATACTATGATGCTATGTTGTGTTTTACTATGACCTCAAAGTGAATGAAAGAGGAAAAGGGAGCTAGTTGAAATTTCTGGCCAAACTAGACAGATTTTGAGACACTAAGTTATCTCAAATCAAGAAATCGCCCTAATGAGAATTTCAGTAACCTCAGATATTGAAGGTACATGCATCCCCACCCCCACCCCCTTTTTGAGACATAGTCCCGCTCTGTAGCCCAGGCTGGAGTGCAGTGGCACGATATGGGCTCATCTCAACCTCCGCCTCCCAGGTTCAAGGGATTCTCCCGCCTCAGCTTCCGGAGTAGCTGGGACTGCGGGCGCCCACCACCACGCTGGGCTAATTTTTGTATTTTTAGTAGAGACGGGGTTTCGCCATGTTGGACAGGCTGGTTTCGAACTCCTGACCTCAGGTGATCCACCCGCCATGGCCTCCCAAAGTGCTGGGATTACAGGGGTGAGCCACCGCGCCCGGCCTTTTTCTTTATTTTTAAAGTTTTATCGCATTCCTGTTGAACCATTCCTGATTTAAAAGTTGGAAACGTGATGAACCTGGAAGTATTTATTGCTGGGTTTGTCTTCAGGTTCTGTTACCCGGTTTTCTAGTTCCCGACCTCGTCTGGGTTACTCCGCAGTTACTTTTGCATTACAATGGCCTTGGTGAGACTGGCAGACGGGATTAACTGAGAATTCACAAGGGTGGGCCGGTGGGGGTGTGCCCGCCAGGAGGGGTGGGTCTAAGGGTGATAGAGCCTTCATTATAAATCTAGAGACTCCAGGATTTTAACGTTCTGCTGGACTGAGCTGGTTGTCTCCTGTTATTGTGTAGGCGACTCTCTTTATCCCAACTTCTTGATACTTCTGCTTCTGGAGGTCATATTTCTCTAACATCTTCCAGAAAAGTCTTGAAGCTGCCTTAACCTTTTTTCCAGTCTACCTCTTAAATTTTTTTCTCCTCTTCCTCAATACTAACAGGAGTGTGGATCCAGCTTGTCCCCAAAGCTTGCCTTGCTTGGAAGCATCCGACGGTAAAGAATCTTCACCTATGCCTGTGATTTGTGGGCCTGAAGAAAACCATCCATCCTTGCAAATGTCTTCTGCTGAGATGCCTCACCTGGAGACTGGTAAGAAAAAAATTTATCCTTGAAAGGCCAAGTTACTTAAGGGAAAAGAGAAGGAGAGAGGGTTGAGGGATCATTTCCCTCTTGAGCAATGATAGACCATTATTATAAGCAAGTGTTATTATCAACTAATCCTCTGGAAACCCCTCTTTCAATTGTAACTTGGTGGCACCTGCCCTTTGACCATGTCCCAAGTCTCAGGAGTGTGCACTGAGTTGAAGGACACAGAATTTGGCAGTTGAACAGTATGTAGTAAATTTGAGAACCTATGGGCTTAGGCATGGTGGAAACAAAAAAGTATCATTATAGTTAAATGAAGGTGATGCGTACACCTTCACATAGCACTGGACACGCAGCTATAGAAGATGTTACTGCTAATTAACCAGAAGACCTAACATCATAGCTCAGGGACGAGCATGATGTTTTTGTTTTGCCAAAAATGGCATGGCAGATCACGATGAGATTTCTGTAATTAATATATAATTTGTGTAATTCTTTCTACGTCACTAACGGCTGGCTCTTCTCCATTCTCTGGGTTTGTGGATGTTACTGGGCAGCTCTGAGTTTAGGAGCACCTCCCATGTTGACTTCTAAGTCCTGGGAAGTGTTGACCCAACTTTACGGTAAAGATAATTCTAGAAAGTTTAATCTACTGACAGTCAAACAGAACGTAGCTAGAAGTCCAGTTTGCCTCCAAAACCTGTGCTAGTACTCAGGCTTCTGACTGGCAGCTGCAAGGAGTGAGGGATGCTTGGGATACTCTTTAAGCCGCTACCACTTTTTTGAAAAATCAATTTTTCAGTAGTTTTCAAAAACTTAAGAATGAACCAACTTTACCAAGAATGCCATTGGTAACACTGACACTGTAAAATAGCTTAAAAAGTGCATTTACATTTTGACTACTGTTGTAAAGAGTAGGTTGTGGAAAAGGAATAAGTAAACATGATTGCTATATTTGAACCTTAGATTTGAATATCACCCTGCTTTTCTCTTTTTGAGAATCACGGACTCGCTCTGTCACCCAGGCTGGAGTGCAATGGTATGACCATGGATCACTGCAGCCTCAACCCTGGGCTCAAGTGATCCTCTTGCCTCAGCCTCCCAAGTACTAGGATGAGAGGCGTGTGTCACCATACCCAGCTAATTTAAAAATTCTTTTTGTAGAGACAGCATCTCACTTTGTAGATGGTCTTGAACTCCTGACCTCAAGCGATCCTCCACCCTCAGCTTCCCAAGTCACTGGGATTACAGGCATTGACCCACCCCGTGTTGCTATTCACCCAGTTTTTCAAAACTTTGCATTAATGTTCTTGTCTTTATAATTTTTTTCTTTTTTTTTGAGACAAGGTCTTACTGTTGCCCAGGCTGGAGTGCAGTGGCGTGATCTCGGCTCACTGCAACCTCCGCCTCCCAGATTCAAGTGATTCTTCTGTCTCAGTCTCTCGAGTAGCATGGATTACAGGCACATGCCACCACACCCGGCTAGTTTTTGTATTTTTTAGTAGGGACGTGGTTTCGCTATGGCCAGGCTGGTCTCAAACTCCTTACCCCAACTGATCCACCTGCCTCGGCCTCCCAAAGTGCTGGAATTACAGGCATGAGCCACCGTGCCTGGCCACCTTTATAATTTCAGATGTTAAAAATAACAGTGCTGGGTTTGGGAATGAGCAAGTGGGCGTGTTTTCTTTAGCACACATCAAGTGACAGTTTATATAGCTAGCTAATATTTAGGATTTTCCCCAATTCTAATCGTTAGTTGAAAGGCTTCCTCTGCTTTTCAGAGCTCCTTGCAAGAGATTGTGAATTTTGCTGTTTTAGAGCCTGTCCATTTGTTCTGTGACTACAGGTTAGAATTGAGAGATAAACACTGGGAAAACTGGGTATTCATTTCTAGTTACAAAATCAGTATATGCCAGGCCCTATGTTAGAGAATTTCAGTTGGTTACCTCATTTAAATAAATAAATAAAAATTTTTGGAGATGAGGTCAGAGCTGGTAAACGGAAGGCCTGGATGGAAACAGAAACTTATCTAAATGGACATATCGTGCTGGTCGTAGCATTAAGAACTGGGCAGTCAGTCACTGGGTTTTTATTTTTTTGAGACACAGTCTCACTCTGTCGCCCAGGCTAGAGTGCAGTGGCAAGATCTCGGCTCACTGCAATCACCGCCTCCCGGGTTCAAGCGATTCTTCTGCCTCAGCGTCCCCAGTAGTTGGGATTACAGGCATGTGCCACCACTCCTGGCTAATTTTTGTAATTTTTAGTCGACATGGGGTTTCACCATGTTGGCACACTGGTCTTGAACTCTTGATCTCAAGTGATCCGCCCACCTTGGCCTCCCAACGTGTTGGGATTACAGGCGTGAGCCATCACACCTGGCTGAGGTGCTGGTTTTATAGAATCCCCAGAATCATGTCATTTAAGCAATCATGTAGGTGTTGATGAAGATCATAAACAGAGAGTGATTTAGGGTGAGATACAATAGGTGAAAATTGGTGGATCTCTATTCTGACCTATTAACACCCAGTGTAGGGGCTTTTGAGCATCAGTTTAAAGTAAAAAGTGGTAGCGCCGGCCCGGTGCGGTGGCTCACGCCTGTAATCTCAGCACTTTGGGAGGCCATGGCAGGTGGATCACGAAGTCAGGAGTTCGAGACCAGCCTGACCAACATTGAGAAACCCTGTCTCTACTAAAAATACAAAATTAGCCGGGCGTGATGGTGCATGCCTGTAATCCCAGCCCCTCCGGAGGCTGAAGCAGGAGAATCGCTTGAACCTGGGAGATGGAGGTTGTGGTGAGCGGAGATTGTGCCATTGCACTTCAGCCTGGGCAACAAGAGCGAAACTCCATCTTAAAAAAAAAAAAAAAAAGTGGTATTGCCGCTTAGCAATGCATTGGCCACCGTTGTAGATCTCTCCCAACGCAGTCTATTATATACAAAATGGAGATACTGATAAGACTTCTTGGATTAATACTGTATAAAGCTTGCCAAAGTGCCAGGGCTGGTTAAGAAGTTGCTTCTTATTACTTAGATCTGGGTTTCTGGGAATTATCAAAGTACTTTGAAAACACTTTTTTTAACAGGATATTTTAATATTTGAAAAAAGTTTTAGACAAAAGTGTCCTTTTATTTGTTCCCAACAGTCTCTCCTCTTCCTTCCTCCATGGATCTTCTTATTCAGGACAGCCCCGATTCTTCCACCAGTCCCAAAGGCAAACAACCTACTGCTGCAGAGAATAGTGCCACAAAAAAGGAAGACAAGGTCCCTGTCGAGAAACAGACCAGAACTGTGTTCTCTTCCGCCCAGCTGTGTGTACTCAATGATAGATTTCAGAGACAGAAATACCTCAGCCTCCAGCAGATGCAAGAACTTGCCAACATCCTGAACCTCAGCTACAAACAGGTAGGCTTGTTTTGTTGTTGCAATGAGGTGAACAAAAATTAGACAGATTTGTATGGCTAAGATCTCTGTGGATGCACATAGATAGATGTGTGTTCTATGTGTCAGCACATTGCCTCCTGCAAATAATTTAAGTATGACGATGAAATGCTTTTGTAACTTTCTTCACCTCTTTCTTTCCTTAAATATTCTATTATGTGAATGTGTCATTTAACCACTTTCCTGCACAGACCAATATTGTGAAAATCTTTCCAACGTTTCCTTAATAAAAAAAGCAGTATATAACTCCACTTTCCAGGTTAGGAGGAGAATCCCTAACTCACACTTGTTCTCATTAAAATACAAACTTTTTTTTTTTCCTTTTTTTTCTTTCTGCCAGCAACCTCCAGCTTGTTTTGTTTTTATATGTGTGCATTTGCTTACTAATAAGTCTAATCATTGTTCATTATTTATTGGCCATTTTCTTTCATTAATTGGCTTATCCTCTTCCAGCTTTTATTTCCTTTTTTTCTCTTGTTTATTTTTGAGATGGAGTCTCATTCTGTCGCCCAGACTGGAGTGCAGTGGCCTCATAATGAGACATCATAATGACATTAGCATTACTTTGGCTGGTTTAAGTACAAATGAATGAAACCTCCACTTCCTGGGTTCAAGGGATTCTCCTGCCTCAGCCTCCCAAGTAGCTGGGATTACAGGTGTCCGCCACGACCTGGCTAATTTTACTGTATTTTTTAGTAGAAATGGGGCTTCACCATGTTGGCCAGGCTGGTTTTCAACTCCTGACCTCAAGTGATCCACCTGCCTCGGCCTCCTAAAGTGCTAGGATTACAGGCGTGAGCCACTACACTTGGCCCTTGCCTTTATTTTCTATCCAAAATGTTCATTTCTCTCTTTTTTTCTGAAACACTCTGGTTCTGTTGTCACCCAGCTGGAGTGCAGTGATGCAATCTCAGCTCACTGCAACCTTAACTTCTCAGGTGCAAGCGATCCTCCCACCTCAGCCTCCTGAGAAGCTGGGACCACAGACGTGCAGCATTACACCTAGCTAATTTTTTGTATTTTTGTAGAGATGGTGTTTCCTCATGTTGGCCATCCTGTACCGAACTCCTGGGCTCAAGCAATCTGCCCGCCTTGGCCTTCCAAAGTGTTGAGATTACAGGTGTGAGACATGGCGCCTAGCCAGGAATAAAAGTTAGCAATATACTTTGATTCAAAATACATCTGTATTACTAATATTTTACAATTTCTGTCATTTTTCCCTGCAGGTGAAGACCTGGTTCCAGAACCAGAGAATGAAATCTAAGAGGTGGCAGAAAAACAACTGGCCAAAGAATAGCAATGGTGTGACTCAGGTAACAGAAAACTTTATTCTGTTCTTTCCTTTCAGTGATCCTTCAATCTTGTCCATCTCTGAAACACAACTCCAGTCACAGACAGTTCTGGTTGTCCTTGTACCCTTTCTGTTAATCCCTCCTTCTCTTTCAGAAGGCCTCAGCACCTACCTACCCCAGCCTCTACTCTTCCTGCCACCAGGGATGCCTGGTGAACCCGACTGGGAACCTTCCGACGTGGAGCAACCAGACCTGGAACAATTCATCCTGGAGCAACCAGACCCAGAACATCCAGTCCTGGAGCAACCACTCCTGGAACGCTCAGACCTGGTGCACCCAGTCCTGGAACAATCAGGCCTGGAACAGTCCCTTCCTGTGTATAACTGTGGAGAGGAATCTCTGCAGTTCTGCTTGCAGTTCCAGCCAAATTCTCCTGCCAGTGACTTGGAGGCTGCCTTGGAAGCTGCTGGGGAAGGCCTTAATGTAATACAGTAGACGACTAGGTATTGTAGTACTCCACAAACCGTGGATTTATTCCTAAACTACTCCACGAACATGCAAGCTGAAGTTGTGTGAAGATGAGTGAAATTGATATTACTCAATTTCAGTCTGGGCACTGGCTGAACCTTCTCCCCCACTCCCCTCCCTGATATAATTTTTCTTGTTTGGAAACCACATGTGCTGGGTTCCACTATGCCTATCCAGCCTAATCAGAGAGGTTTCTTTCTTTCTTTTTTTTTTTTTTTTTTTTTCCTATTGGATCTTCCTGGAGAAAAGGCATTTTAATAACCTTGGCTGCTAAAGACAACTTGATACTAGCTGTCTCTGGCTATAGATAACTAGATCTAACACTAGTTTGGGTACTTTTAGGGTTTAGAATCTAACCTCAAGAATAAGGAAAAAAAAAAGAATAAGAAATGAAAGTACAAATTGGTGTGATGAAAATATATTCCTATTGTTTGGAATTGGGAGGCTTTGCTTATTTTTTTAAAAACTCTACTGAGGTCAGGCGCGGTGGCTCATTCCTGTAATCCCAGCTCTTTGGGAGGCCAAGGGAGGTAGATCACCTCCGGTTAGGAGTTCGAGACCAGTCTGGCCAACATGGTGAAACCCTGTCTCTACTAAAATACAAAGATTAGCTGGGCGTGGTGGCAGGCACCTGTAATCCCAGCTACTTAGGAGGCTGAGCCCAGATGGTGCCACAGCAATCCAGCCCGGATGGCAGAGCCAGACTCCATGTCAAAATAAAATAAAATAAAATAAAATAAAATAAAACCTTATTGAGGCGAAGGGTGAAGGGTTAAGCTGTAACATACATCATTGATTTCCTCAGCCCTTTTTGGCTCTGTTTTACTATAGCCCCTATTTTGTTGATTATGCTAATATTTGTGGAAAGAGGTCTTGTGTTTGCTGCATTATGACATCAGTACTACTTTGGCTGGTTTAAGTACTAAGGAATAAAACAACCATTTTTCCTTTAGTTGACTTTGGCCTGAATTCTCCTAGTGTTTCAATCAGTAAAAATACAGCTTAAACAAAAATCTTTGTTAAATTTTTGGTTGGGGTGAGGGAGTAAATTAGCTGAGAAGATGGTATCTTAGAAGTAAATAGAAAAAGCTGAACGTGGAGGCCCATGGTAGTCCCAGCTACTTGGGAGGCAGGAATATCGCTTGAGTCCTGGAGGGCTCACTCCAGCCTGGGCAGCAGTGAGTCCCCTGCCTCAAAAAATGGATAGAATTGAGTAAGTGGCTGGGCAAGATGGCTCATGCCTATAATCCCAGCACTTTGGGAGGCTGAGCTGGGTGGATCACACAAGGTCAGGAGTTCGAGACCAGCCTGGCCAACATAGCAAAACACCGTCTCTACTAAAAATACAACAATTTGTTGCAGGAGGTTGCAGTGAGCTGAGATCGCAACAGATTGAGATTCCTGACTTCGAGTGATCTGCCTGCCATAGCCTCCCAAAGTGCTGGGATTACAGGTGTGAGCCACTGCGCTCCACCTTTTTTGTTTTTTAAGATGGTGTGTCACTAACATTTTAATAAAATTATTGATTCTTACAAAGGACAGATAATGAAGCTCTAATAAATTTGAGGAAATATTAAATGGTAATTCGGAGCCTAGAAATTTTGGAAAAAAATATCTGGCTTCTCTTTGCTTCAGATTAAGTTCAGCTACAAAACATGGGAGTAGTTTATATTTCTATTATCCTGATGAGAAATCTGATGTGGCAGATACCACCCTCCGCCTGCTGAAAGGATAATCTTTTTAATTTTTTTTGAGACGGAGTTTCACTCTTGCCAGGCTGGAGTGCAGTGGCACAATCTCGGCTCACTGCAAACTCCGCCTCCTGGTTCACGCCATTCTCCTGCCTCAGCCTCCTGAGTAGCTAGGACTACAGGTGCCCGCCACCTCGCCGAGCTAATTTTTTGTATTTTTGGTACAGACGAGGTTTCACCATGGTCTCGATCTCCTGACCTCGTAATCCACCTGCCTCCGCCTCCCAAAATGCTGGGATTACAGGCATGAGCCACCGTGCCCGGCCGAAAGGATAATCTTGAGTAGATAATGGAGCCAGTTTTACTGACCTAATGAGCACAGGAATTGTTCAGGGACCCGGTGGGAGTTAACAAGTGTGTGATGGCTGTGTGGGCAGCACTGATGGAATCTACAGGGTCTTCCCCGGTTTGGGGGATATTAAGTATGACTGTAGGGTCACTGAGAGGCTGAGGAAAGATACCTGGCTTGAGGTCTGGGATCTGAGAGAGGGAAGATTTTGAGTTGCGCATAGGCTTGAAGCATCTCTTATGATGAAAGCATCAAGCTGGGGGCTGAAGAAAGGAAGTGAGAGATGAGAGAAAAAAGGAGATTGGTGTCTGGTTTTCACTGTTTAATTTGCTTTTGGAAATTAACTATTACTGGAAATAACGACTTGTTTCCTATATCCAATAGGTCAATATTCAAGTTGAGGTGAAGACCTAGGGCAGAAGGTAGTAAAACCCACAGTCACCAAGAAACCAAAGAAAGGCCGCGTGCAGCAGTTGACACCTGCAATCCCAGCACTTCTGGAGACTGAGGTAGGCGGATCACTTGAGGTCAGGAGTTCAAGACCAGCCTGGCCAAACATGGCGAAACCCCATTTCTGCTAAAAATACAAAAATTAGCCGGATGTGGTAGCTCACACCTGTAATCTCAGCTACTTAGGAGGCAGAGGCAGGAGAATCACTTAAACTCTGGAGGTAGAAATGGCAGTTAGCTGAAATGGCACCACCACACTCCAGCCTGGTGGAGAGTGAGACTCCTTAGAGAAAGAAAAAAGAAAACAAAGAAAATCTTGATTTTCTTTCTTTCTTTCTTTCTTTCTTTCTTTTTTTCTGAGACAGACTATCGCTCTGTCACCCAGGCTGGAGTGCAGTGGCACAATCTTGGCTCACTGCAACCTCCACCTCCCAGGTTCCAGGGATTCTCCTGCCTCAGCCTCCCGAGTAGCTGAGATTATAGGCGCGTGCCACCAGGCCCAGCTAATTTTTGTATTTTTAGTGGAGACGGGGTTTCACCATGTTGGCCAGGATGGACTCCATCTCTTGACCTAGTGATCTGCCCACCTCAGCCTCCCAAGGTGCTGCGATCACAGGCGTGAGCCGCCGTGCTCTGCCCTGATTTTCTTTTTTTTTGAAGAATCAGGGCTTTTGGTTGCAAGTCTAAAATAAATTTGCTCTTAAAAACGAATTTAAGCAATAGAAAAATATATAATGAAGTTGATCTAGTAATTACACCTATTCAGATATAAACGCTAAATAATTCAGCATATGTTCTTACAGATTTTCAGTCAAAGATATTTTAGTACATATAGTGTAGGTGTTAATGGGTGGTTTTGTAAATTACAACACTATTATATTTTCTGGGGGTTTTTTTGAGATGGAGTTTCACACTTGTTGCCCAGTGTAATGGCGCAGTCTTGGCTCACTCCAACCTCCGTCTCCCAGGTTCAAGCGATTTTCCTGACTCAGCCTCTGGAAAGCTGGGATTATAGACATGCGCCACCATGCCCAGATAATGCCGTATTTTTAGTAGACACGGAGTTTCTCTGGATAATACTGTGTTTTTAGTAGACACGGAGTTTCTCCATGTTGGTCAGGCTGGTCTCAAACTCCCGACCTCAGATGATCTGCCTGCCTTGGCCTCCCAAAGTACTAGGATTACAGGCGTGAGCCACTGCACCCGGCCTTCTTTTTTTTTTTTTTTTTAAGACGACGTTTTCCTCTGTCACCCAGATGGCTGGAGTATACTGTGCGATCTCATCTCACTGTAACCTTCGCATCCCCGGTTCAAGCCAATTCTCCTGCCTGAGCCTCCCGAGTATAGGTGCCCACCACCACGCCCGGCTAATTTTTGTAATTTTAGTAGACACAAGGTTTCACCATGTTGGCCTGACTGGTCTTGAACTCCTGACCTCAGGTGATCCACCCACCTCAGCCTCCCAAAGCGCTGGGATTACAGGTGTGAACCACTGTACCCAGCCTGACTAGTCTATTAAAAAAAAAAAAAAAACTTACAGAGCTTTAGAGTCTTAACACACAAATGGTAATCTCAGAGTATAGCTTACAGTTCAAGTGAAGTACAGTTTATTTTTTATTTATTTATTTTGTGAAGTGCAGTTTATAAATATTTTCTATGTAATTGTGTGCTGTGTAAATCTAAAGTACTCTTAAAGGTATTTACCTCCAAATTGGAACTCACTTTATTTTTCACTATTCTTTTTGTCTTTTTTTTAGAGACAGAGTCTTGCTCTGTCGCCCAAGCTGGAGTGCAGTGGTAGGATCTTGGCTCACTGCAACCTCTGCCTCCCAGGTTCAAGTGATTCTCCTGCCTCAGCCTCCAGAGTAGTTGGGATTACAGGCACATGCCACCACATCCAGCTAATGTTTGTATTTATTTATTTATTTATTTATTTATAATTATTTTTTGAAACAGCGTCTCACTCTGTTGCCCAGGCTGGAGTGCAGTGGTGCCATCTCGGCTTACTGCAACCTCTGATTCTCAGGTTCAAGCGATTCTCCTCCTGCCTCAGCCTCTCAAATAGCTGGGATTACAGTCATGTGCCACCACGCCCGGCTAATGATTGTATCTTTATTAGAGATGGGGTTTCTCCATGTTGGCCAGACCGATCTCAAACACTTGACCTCAGGTGATCCACCCACCTTGGCCTCCCAAAGGGCTGGGATTACAAGTGTGAGTCAACACACCCGGCCTGTTTTTCACTATTCTTTTGGAAGATGTGAGTGACATAAGAGGCAGAGTAGGTCTGCTGTGGTGGCTCACGCCTGGAATTCCAGCACTTTAGGAGGCTGAGGCAGGCGGATTACCTGAGGTCAGGAGTTGGGGAGCAGCCTGGCCAACATGGCGAAACCCCATCTCTACTAAAAATACAAAAATTAGCTGGGAGTGGTGGCAGGCCTGTATAATTCCAGCTGCTCAGAAAGCTGAGGAAGAACAATCGCTTGAACCCAGGAGGCAGAGGTTGCAGCGAGCCGAGATTGTGCCACTGCACTCCATCCTGGGCGACAAAGCAAGAC